TTGCCCAGCCTATATATGGTAAAATGTGAGGTTCAGCAGTTGGTTTATGATAAATAGATGTTCGTAATTGTTTATTTGCACTCGTAATAGTGACATCGAGAAAATGAAAAGATGTGCTCATTGTAGGTTCAATTTTGATAGTATTATCTTTACGTCGTAGTTTTTCAAGTTTACCATTGATTTCTTCGTTGGTTTGATTTGTTGTCATAAAAATATTATCTACATATCTATACAAAAGAACAAACAACCGAATAAAAATTTGTTTATATTAGAAATATTTTACTAATCTTCGATAAAGGACCCTGTCTGATAAGATGGCCTATATAGAATTGAGAAACCAAATATACCATCTTGTAGAGAATTTCACGGCGCATCGAATGGTATATAATAAGTAGGTTTTCTAAATAGTTTGGGAAGAGTTATAATCAATTTACTGATAGAGGGTAGAGTCCAAAATGGTGATACATAGCTAATCAGTATAGTCCATATAAGTTAGTCAAAGGATATCGTAAAAATATATTCCTTACATACGATTGTGTAGAGCTTTTGACGGGCTACAAGTTTATATATCCAATATCTTTAATCACATAGTATTCAGAAGAAAAAAAAGATGGTTTGAGTGTGGGTGTGAGGTATGAGTATGGATGTGGGTGTGGATGTCATTAAAGAAGAGACCAACACCCACACCCTATTTTCCATACTTTTCTTTCATGAGTATAAATTTTGATTGGATTTTTTTTCTCATTTTTTGCCTTTAACTATTATCAATTATAGTTCCAATGACAAAATCAATTGTAAATAGAAAAATGGAATTTTATAATAAAAAAAAATGATAGAAAAATAAAATGTCTATTTTTTATTATACGAGATCGGATATTATATCGTTGAAGTTCTTTCCTGAATTACTTGTAAATTAATAAGAGAAAATACAATTGATTCTAGCATTTCATCTATTCTAAATATTTTCAACATTAATGAAAAAATATTTTCGAATAAATTGATTTAAATGCTGAACTCAAGAAAACAGATTCACGAAAAATAAACAAAAACACACTATAATTAGTAAAGATAGTTTTACAATTGGAAAAAGACGCATAAATGTAAATAAAATCGAACGTTTCAATGACTTCATACTTGCTTAACACGTTGCAATGTCTATACTCTCTAGCATGATCAATTACTTAAGATTTGACAGTAGAACTGGACTAGCAATATAATATAACTGAGCATTCTTTGGATACACATGCAAAACTGAGATGTTGATGATCTAACCTATTTCGTTTGATTTGATCTACTCTGACCGATTGTGTAAAAGCTAGATCAGTTTCATCTTCGTAGACTAGAGATCGTGTCAATAGGATTTGTATAAACGAATTAACTCGTCTATTTCAATCTCGAAAAACGTCTTTCAATTGTGCAGTTATTCAAACAAGATTTTCTGTCAGTGACAAGAAAATCATCTCAGTATGATGGTGTACATTCCTGATATATTCTTACTCATTATCATTTTGTATAATTTGTTATTAATTAGCAGATCATAATACATATTCAAGCCAACTAATGAAGTCGTCCGGCAAAGTTGAATTCTGTTGTAATTGTTTTCCTTTCTAACTACCTGTCTTTCGAAAGATTTGCAAATATAAGATAGAATGAGCATACGAGACAAAACATCATTTCCTTATGTTTTGAGCTAAAGTATGCAATAAAAAATTGGTATGAAATCTAAACAAATTTTATAGAATTATTTTTGACAGATCTCTTAAAAAGTTATCTCATCATAATATAGTACAAAGAGTACCAAAAGTACTATCTTGAACTGATTGAATACCTTCTATTGAGATTAATACTCAAAAAGAACTTTCCATCGAACTTCCGTCCATTTCATGATACCATCATACATTCAAGAATTTACTTCAGTTGGTTGTAATAATCCAATGCAATGCTGATTTATTACTATACTGTTTTCAACCACTAATAATCGTCTTATTGTACGATCTGCAAGCCATTCAGCTTCATACATTTTTCCAAGTTGATCACTAAAATATTCGCAATGTGAAAAACATGTTTTTCTTCTCTCATCATCATCCAATTTGAATTCCTTGATAATATTTTCTCATGTATTTCGATTTGCGTCTGTCATTCAACCAGATATTTCAATATCATAACAAAATAGTTAACCTATGTAATTTCTTGTTTTATGGCTTGTTTCACAACATTTATTACTTCAACATCGAACATCGTAACTTGGTGTATTCAAAAATCTTTATGATCAAGTCAAAACAAGACGAATTTAGGTGACAATTCGATAAATGAAGATCTCATAAAACCTTGTGAAACTTGAAAATTGAAAAAGTTAAATCTGATTTTCAAATTTTAGAATAGATTGATTTAGTTTTTTGTATTGTAATTAATTTAAAAAAAACAAGAACTTTATGTCAAACATTTTCAGAAAAGTATATTCTCGATGACAACTGTTAAAAATAGTTTATTAATATTAATAGTTGATTTACAATGAAAATTCATTATTGAGTACTTGGGAATATTTTAATGGTAACATTTTTCCAAGAATTTTTTAATGTCTTTACAACACAGAAACAAACGTGCGTTATTTTTTTGCCTCTTGAATAAAATAGAACCACAAGGTAAATGTTGACATATACTTTATTCATGGTTTTACAACTCATCATTTTTATGAGTTGTAAAATTATTTTATAAATAATGTTTCATATGGTGTAAATATTGATTAAGTCATATGAGAAATTAGTTTTTGAACTATTGAAAATGTTACATGAATTTTAAATAAATCATTAGATGAGTTTTTGACATCAGAATAGTGACATGTCAGAGATATCTGTAATTTTGTTTTTGAATTATTCATTGCTGACAGAAGACATAAACATGACCTTTGATACAATGATAAATCGACTCTTGGACGAGATATACGGTAAGCAAAAAAAAAAGACTTTTTTATTCTTTCTTGGTGACATTTAGTGATAACATGGCAGTTTCTTTCGCTGAATATCATTTTGACTAGCAAGTGACCAAAACAGAATATAATTATTTAATTTTCATTCATGGCATCTTTAATGAAATGGTCTGTACCAGAAACCATTGGTATTGCTATAAATAAAAGTCAACAAGAATTTGTTGTCATCAGTTGGAATGTATTGCATATGATTCATGAAATAAATTATGTAAATGATTCAAGTCCAGTGATCAATCGTTATTCGATTAACAACGATTGGTCAAATGAAAAACTACGACTTAATGATATTACAAAGACATTAAGTGAACTACTAATCAAGCACTCTACTATGGAGTGTTTCATTTGTCTACAAGAAGTGCCCGGTGATTTACTGCCAATGTTACATGAAATGTTCGATTCTCATGCGAACTCAACCTTAGCAAGTAAACCAATAATGCATATACAAACTTACTCACGTAAACCGCGCATTCGAGGAAGACAAGGAAGTTCTGTCTACATTGACTCGAATGAAAGTCTCGTCACGATTCATTATAATCCAGACATCATTTCTACGGAAAAAGCAACTGGATTGGAGAATGAAAAAAAAAGTGTTCTTTGCAATGATCAAGTTCTATGGACACCCTGTCCTACTGATCCTGGTAAAGGTGCTCTTACTGTAACAACCACATCTGGTTTAAGTGTTGTGAATGCACATGTGCCATATAACAATCAAGCTGCCTCACTATTGTTGAGAAATATCTTATGGCCTGAAAATAATAATCCATTTGTATTCGTTGGTGACATAAATCGTGATTCTAAAGCCTTCATGAATATAGTCGCCAAGATTACCATTAGAAAGCCTTCCTTCAGTCTACTATTTCCTATCACAACACGCAAGCCTACTAGAGTTGGTTTACGCCCGGACGGTACTCTCTACAAGGTATGGATCGATCATTATCTCGTTTCAACATCACTCAAACATTTAGCTATATCTCCTGCAGTGGTCTGTGATGATGTCGGTGATATTTCTGATCATTATCCCATCTTACTTCAGTTCAAAAATATATAGAACCTGCAAATAAAAACACTTGATGTTTCCTATTGCCTCCTTTCCTCGCTTGATAGTTTACTACATACGTATTTATCCCAATACATCAATCCTATTACACTTTTTTTAAATATTTTCATGAAACATTTCGTAGATCAGAATTGATTGTCATGTATTCAATGCTCTATCGATACGTTACTCTCAAGAACTTGTACAACTTCATCAAATTCCACTAATTTTGAATGGCCACAATTTATTCCCTAAGTAAAATTATTAAAATACTAAGCTGACTTTTGTCCAGTAAAATTTGAATCTGTTACTCAGTACACAAATTGACTGCTTAGTGAAAATATTGAACGTTCAGTTAATTTATAGTTTCTCAGTAATAAAAATATTTACTAAATTAGATAATTCATATCTCCGTAAAAATTTTTTTTTGCAAAGTTAATAAATTGAAATCATAGTTATAAAATAAAATCGGTAAGTAAAAATTATTACTACTAAGTAATTTCAAATAAAGACTAAGTGTGATTATCTAAGATAGGAGGGTGTGGGCGGTTCCAAGGAGATAAGACCTACACCCACACCCACACCCACACTCTACAAATAAGTTATTGATGTTATTTAAATATATGATATCCAAAATCATTCACACGCTTGAACAATTACATTTAGACAATCATTAGTTGTTTGTTAAAACAGTGTTTTTTGCATGTCTCTCATATCTTATCATGTCTTCAAGTAGCAGACCAAAAGTCCGTTACGATTTAAAGGACTCACTAGTCTCCTTGCATAGTTCGACATACATTCATAATCGCGTTTCACAAATTTTCATATCCAAGTCGTGGCTTGCACGAAATTTCTGTCAAACTTTTAATAATATATCACTTCAACAATAATCGATACACTCCATTAATCATCTATCTAGGTAGTAAATAGTTTATTCAAATAAATTAAAAGAAATTTAGTATGAATTTATCAATAGAATTATGCTTCAATGTTGACTGTTGACATTGTTAAATTGAAAAATTCTTGAAGAAATATATTGATTTTTTCTAAAACAAAATTAAAGTTCAAGAGAATTTAACGAAAATTATTAATTAGTAAATTTACTCATCAGATTTGGTTGTATTTTACGAAAAACAAACAAATAGTAGAATATCAAACCGACAAGCACAATAATAAGTGCAATAAGATATCCAATATTTGGGCTCGATATAACAGGTGCAATAATAAGATAGACAGAAACTAATATCATAAAAATAATTACAGGTATTGGTACCTATACAAAAAAAACGAGATATCTTCTCGTTTATAATCTATAGAGAAAAACAAACATACTTTAATAGCTCGATAGGCTTCAGCCTTCGTAAATTTACAGCAAATTGTGGCAACAAATGTCAGTCCAAAAAAGACCCAAGCAACGAAGCTGACAAAATCGATTAAATGCTCAATATTAGTGGGAATACAATAGATAATACTAATAATAGTCTTAAAAAATAAAGGCAACAAATAAATACTTCTAAAAACATTAATAGATTTATTTAATACAAACCATGAGCATAATACTCGGTAACGGTGTTAATCGTTGTTTTTGAATACAAGAAAAAATTTTAGGTAGATATCCATAACGTGCGCCTACCATAAAATAACGACTAGAACAATAAATCGTTGCAGTGGCACTGCCCAATGCACTAAACGAAACCAGAATAGGCAATGTACGAACAACAGGACCTAACACAGCTTCTCCCCATGTCTAAAAAGATTCAACATAATTACATATGTGAATTGTTAAATTCATGCTTGGTACAAACCAGGGTCTAACTATGGGTGCATCTCGTGCTTCTGTCAGTCCAAAAATCTGAGTGAGAAAGTGAAAAGATTCGAACAAATCTAATAAATCTACTTTTTAAAAAAAATTCGCTTTACGAAAGCACACTTTAGCAATCAGATTTTGAAAAAAATATCGATAGAACACTTCCTGAAGAAGTTAGTCACAAGTTACTCAAAGTGCTACTTCAGCGTTAAAGTAAATTATGAGTTGATTAATTAATTGAGTTCGAATTTCTTTGTGCTAAAGGATGAAACGAAATCATCTTCTAAGATTTAGATCTATATTGTGGTCAAGGTTAAAGCTGTAATGCCTCGGCATTTAAATATCATCTGAGCTCTGATTGAATATGAGAATCTCCAATGCATCAGTAGTCGTAGTATAGGAAAATTATATGAAGATCATCGAAGATGATATACAAGAAAAGTTTCGCTTTTTCAATGACAATGTATTATAAACAAATGCTGTTTTCTAGTTATATATATTGTTAAGTATTTACTATGCATGATAGGCGTTTGAAATTTTATCAAGCTTTTTATCGTTCAATAAGACAAGAAAATTACATTTAATACGACAAAAATGATTACTAATGAATAAGAAAACATACTGGCAAAATCACGTGTAAATTTTTGCTTAAATTTTACTTTATTATTTGATAGAACGTCTTATCATCTATTCCTAGTCGATATATATTCATGTCTTTATTGATATATTGCATCTCAAATATAACTTTCAATGTAGATTTACTGTAAGTGACTTGTATAATAAATGGTTATTATATAGATTTATTAAGTTATCAATAAACAATACAAATTCAAATACATGAGTTTTTTAAACTTCTCTATGGATTGTTGAGTTCTAAAAATAACCTAGAGACATTTTCCAATTTTAGCGTTCTCATAGGGAAACGACAATAGCGCTCGAACGAATCTCTCCATGTGTTAAATCGTTTTTGGTCTAGAATTATGTTCTTTCGATGAATATTGATGAACGGTGAAAAATTGTAGAAGGATTTGGTTTTTCAGACCTTCGTTCTTCTAATATCGTATAATTTATTGTCTTAGTATATTCAGTGGTCTCGTTGGAGTTAAAAGACTTTTAGTAAAATCACAAAAATCTTTATATCGAGTAATAGAGTCAGGTACAAATCAAATTGAAGCTGTCAATATTAATAAGACCGCTTTGTACTTCTACTTTTTCAGACACCGAATATTAGTTTTTCGAAACATATAAATAACTGAAAAAGTGAAGAGGACACTTCCTAATTCAAACGTAAACGTATATAGGAAAAAGCGACTTTTGCATTCGGACTTCGGTGGCGTGGTGGTTTAATCGGTTGTTGCTCAGTGGCAGCGGCTAATAAATTCTTGAAAGTTTTATTACTATGGTGGTGGTGGCGGCTGCTGTATTTTTTTCCTCAAAAATTAGTAGCAGCGACGGTTCAGCCGTACGGCTTACACATCTATTCACAACTAGCATCATCGATTAGTCTTGTACATTGTGAAAGTTTCAGCTCCATTTGTTGCTTTTTTTACATGGCAACATTTTTCAGTATACGTGTCGTAAAAGTAATAGCAACGGGAAATGTTGAAATATTCAGAATGAACTAGTATCATGATTCAGGTAGTTCATTAGATTGATATTTACCATAGCTACAGCATCAGAACTAAGCAATTCAGCTTTGTTCATCACTGTGAAATAGGATATGTTGGTGAGAAGATATAGAATAATTACTGATGAAAGAGCCAGTACAATTGACAGCCATAAATTTCTATACAGAATATTAAATAACCAATGATATTGGTTTAAATTATTCTTTTTTCTTTTTGATTAAATATGATTACCTTTTCGGATTTTTAAGTTCTTCAGTCACCGAATTCAAACTTGACCATCCGCCATAGGCCCAAAGGCCTGAATAGAAAGCAAGTGAAATACGTAATGGATTTTTTGATGTACCTATTTTAGTGTGAATAATCATGAAACAAATTATCAATCATTTCAATAAAAAAAAAAATAATTTCAATTACCATCAAAGCTATTTTCTAAATTTTCAGTATAACCTAATCAAAATAAAAGAATTCTTGTAAAAGTTATGTTTTTACTCTTTTCTATAGATCTTCAAAAACCTTGTCCGATGCGTACAAGACCACCTATTATAATCACTAAAATTGTCACCGTTTTGGATATGGTAAAAACAATATTTAGTCGATTCGCTGCCGTCACACTAATTCCATTTATAACACCGAGGATTCCTAAATTGTCAAGGATTTTCAAGTAGAAGAGAGCAACAAATGAAAGCGAATCAATTAACAAACCGATTACAGAAATTGCCAACACTTTGATTAGTTTTAGTGGCGGACTGGGACCTATATTGATTAACTAAAAAACGCATATAGACCGATAATTTTATGTTTACTGTTCATGATTCCTGATAGAAAATATGTTCCAAATGTTAAAGAAAGAATAGCAACCATTGACGGTTCAAGAATGAATGTATTCGACCAATTGAAGACAAAAGCAAGCACATCACCAGTACGAGCATGAATCGATCCGATTCCTAGTTTACAGATCAATTAATGACAAACTTCTCATGAGAAAAAACTATGCAAAACACTGTTACAACGCCACATTTTTACAAAAAAAAAATGCTCTTTATTCATTTTAATGGATTATATTTAATCCCGACGTATTCTTTTTTTTCCATCTTGGAGCGTTATATAAAAACATCATTCGAATGCACTTGATACCTTTAAATGCGATTTTCAGTATTCTTGTATTAGAAAGAAGTCATTGTTTTTTACCAATATGTTAAAGCACAGTATTTATACTGTCGTTTTGTTGTAACAAAAAATGAGCTATCATACTATTAACATTCTTGTTTTTAGTGAAATCACTCTTTTATGGAATAAAAAGTTTCTAAATTATACACGAACTTTTCGTCGTATGAAACTCAGAAATACATCACTTAAACAGAACTACTCTTGAGATAATCATACTACTATAATGTAACAGAATGTATTTGAATGTAAGAAAAGAAAAATAAATAGTTATATAAAACAATATGATTTGCAAATGAATAAAATTAGTTTATATTAATTAAAATAATCTCTTGAGTAAGTTAGAAAGATTATAAAGCACATGATACTGAGGTTAGAAACTGTGTTAAATCTTTTCCTATGTAACAACTAATCGTACAATGCTTTTTCAAAATTTTGGGCAGAATTTCCAACTATCTACAGTTAGAATATCGCATATTTACAATGAGAGCTCGAGAATTTTTAAAAAAATCTCTACTCGACAAATAACGCACTTTAGCATGCATACGTTTTCGTTCTCTTCAAGCATAATTTATAGGTAATACCGATAGTAACCATTTTTTGTTTTTCTTGTTCTTCTGTTTTTTTTTCTTTCTTCTATATCAGTAACTACTGTAGTTTTGTGTTCTTTTTCGACAGCCAAATCAACGCATTTAGAAAGTACCTATCGATTTCTCTTCCCATATGAAGGTTTTTCATTTGGGCTAAACTCAATCGTTCCTTTACTATCTTCAAAATGATTTGTCTGATAGATGATGCTCATCAAAATATGTATATATCTCAAAAACATTGAGGGAAACTCAACAGAAAAAAAACAATTACTTCAATAAAAACATAACACGACGAGGATATTTATTTGATGGAAATAAATAGTAAATTTTTAGTTACACATATCATATCTTCTTGTCTTTAGATAAAGTACTAACGAATTAAAGCAAACTAACACGAAGACATGCTACAATTGAAGTTTCGAAATCATGTTTGAATTATCATAATCTATTAGCATTTGTAATTTGATCAGATTCGTAATTCTACAGACGGCTTTGAATTACATTTTATGATTATGAAGTTAGCAATACTCATATTGTTATTTTCTTTTCTTTTTTTCTATTCATTTATTCATATTAATAATTTTATCTTGATTTCTTAATAGTTTCTTTATTCAAAATTCTAAAGATTTCAAGAACGATGTGTCAAAGTCAATATTATAAAAGTCGAGATGTAGTGAACATATTCAAAATACTAAGTATAAATCAATAGAAAGATAATTTTTGTGTCAATATTACCTCGAATGTTACGACGCTGTCTGACATATATATTTTTTCAGAAGTCTTCAGAATTTTCAATTGAGAAAACATTCTATTAACCTGTACATATAGGATGACATAATTCATATGAAAACTGAGAAAAGATATAGTATAGTAGATTGTTTTCATTTTTTTTTTAAATGAAAGACGTATTCAAACAAAATATTTTACAAATTTCTCGTTCATGGATTCAAAATAAAATGCTTTAACAATTTCAAAATTACCTTCTCGCATATAAACTAATTCGGAACCACTCAGCGGTATAACGGTACCTATTTCTGCATAGCACAATGCACCTATAATAAAAATATGTATTTGAAGAAAAAGATTAGGTTTTTTTTTAACTCAAAATCTCACCCAATATAGAGATGAAACCACATAATGCCCATATTACCAAACATAATCCAACCGATTCTGTCTCTCTTAGAACACCTTTTGGAGAAATAAATATTCCCGAACCTGATATAGAAAAATATTTCACAAAAAAAATAGTTTGGAATTAATATATCCTATTTACCAATGGTAATACCAAGTACGAACGAGATTCCAGAAAACAGACCGAGATGTCGTTTGAGGGTTTTCTTTTCGATAGGCACTATTTCATTTCTATCAGAATCTGTTTCTTCGATTGATCTACTAATTGAATTTATCTCTTGCTCTTGATTAGATGTTAAATCCGTATGAGCATCCGAAGAACTAGGTTCGACACTATTTGCCTAAAGGTATGAGAGACAAAAACAAAAACAACGTCTCTTTGAATCATCTCTTGTAGAGTCTTTTTTTTTTCATTACCTGAACAAACATATCGTTGTTATTATTGTTGTTACTTATTTCTATTCGTATTATTCGTCAAATGTAACTAGGATTTGTAGTCTATTCTTTTTTTAATCCAATATTTAAATCTCAAAGTAAGCAATAAAAATAAGAAGAAAAACATTGGCATTTAGTAACTAACAAAATGACGACTAACCGAAGCGGCTTCTTATGGACTGGATCGTGTGAGAGATAATAGTTTATTTGCATCTGTTAATCATATGACAATTGGTTGACTATAGTAGATGTGCAGAATCTATTGTAAAACAATGAAAATTCCCACGAACGGAGACATAACTGAAAGAATTTAAAAATAAATAGTATCAATTAAACATATCTAGAGATTTAGAATATGAGTACGACTGGGTTGGCTTCTGTTGGGCGTTAGAGAGAGCAAAGAATAATTCAAGCAATTTCCTATCGGATCTACTCCTACTCTAGAAACAAAGAAGGCTTTCATAAGTTATGTGTTATTACGAAACACACAGACCAAATTTTCAGAATTACTGTAGGCAATATAGCAATGAAAAGGGTGTGGGTTGTGTATGTTAGTGTCTTCTCTTAACTCACACTCTAGGGTGTGAATGTCTGTTGCTGTCGCGTGAATATTACACAAACCCACACCCACATCCAACCGAAGCACGCTGACGATAATTTGTGGCAAACACAACTGTATTTAGACCTTTCCTCAGTTTCTAAGGAGTTCTCGGAAGATCTCTGGAGAAACTATCAGACATATGGATTAAGAAAATTTCATCATGCGAGAGTCAATGACTTTTGCACTTTACTGTATATAATATTCTCTTTTGTTTCTGAAAATGAGTACGAGTGTTAATGGTTGTAGACATGAGTGTGAATATGAAGTGGAAATATGCTTACCAGTAGACGCATGTCTATAAATTTACACAAAGGCTAGCACTAACCCACGTACTCGTTTATTACCTTTAACTGTATGTGACTGATGATAATCATCGTATTCGAATCTACGTTCATAGTCCGCAGTTTCAATCATCATCAAATTAATTTAGTCGTTTTCAACTATATACATATTGTCGTGCTTTACATTTTACTATGTTATCATTTTCATTCTACTAGGTTGTTAAGCCCTTTAAATTTCATTGGATCAGAGACTTATTTTTGACTGTGATAAATAAATAAAAGTAATAAAGTTTTCTTCTAATTACTATTGATCTAACGGTAGAATTGCGTTGTTAGTCCTGCTGACTTCATTTGTTAATTTGCAATTTTGACGACAAAGACAGAAATATTCTTGTCAACAAAAGGATCATCCATATATAAAGCCAAAAAAGAAAAATTTTCAGTTTTTTTTTTACGGTAATTGAAAAGATGTAGCTGTAAATGATACTCGTATTCTTCAGTCACATTGTCGTTCACAAATACCTTTAAAATAAAATTCGGAATTAAATGTTCACTTTTGAATCAATGTTATGATGTTCCAAAGTATTAAAATATTTTATTGAATGTATACGTTCCTTTAAACAAATAAATACTTGGTACAATGTTTATATATAAAGGATGAAGAAATATCAAACACTTTTTATTTCATTCATACAGTATACTCGATATTTATAATTTATCCGATAAAAATATTGCTTGTCTGTACAAATGAAATTTGTATTTCTCATATTATCTTTTTCAACGATAAAATACATTTGAAAAATGTATTAAAAAAGTTTCATTTACTTACTCAGTCATAATATGATAAAAGAAGATGCAACATTTCGGTCTAAACGACAACATACGAGATTTCTAATCGTAATTTGTCCTTATTTTTTTTGTGTGTGATGTATGGTCAATTTTGAGTCCAATCGAAGCTCATCATTTTTAGTATTTCTATTCAGGCAGAGTGAATATATGACATAGTTAGTTGATATTTTGATGAGATAATATAAATATATATGTGACGATGAGGGTGTATATGGAAGAAAATCAGAACTCAGGTAATGGGAACTGTCTTGAGATATTAAAGTACATTAGAAAAAAAATCCACGTCTCTATACATTACCATCCGGGAGATATCTAGAGAGCCAAGTTGTAAAATAGGGCATTTACGCGTACAAAACTTTTTTTTTTGGAATATACTTCAAGCTACAGAGCTGGGTTTGCTTTTATTTGAAAGAGAATCTTGAGGGTATGGGTGTATTCTTTTGTAGCACTTACACCCACACCCTCTCAAGCATTGTGTAACTGTAGAAGCAGATCTACCTTTGATTTCTAGAAGAAAAGTTCGATAAACTTGGCGAACATATTCTATTAAGTCACCTTTTGAGACTTGCAGTGGATGCGATGCGTGAGATATGTTGAGAAAAATTAAATCTTTGTTTTTCATTAACTTTCATTCATCAAATATGTCAAGCGACCAAATTCTATCTTCAACCTTTTCTCTTTACTCTTTCATCGATCATTACGTTAATGTAAGAATAATGGAAGCTTTCAAATGTTGTAGGGTTGCCTTTCGAGCAAGCAACAAAAAATAACAAGAAAAACAGAACAATGCGGGTGATTACCTCGCTTCATACTGCACAAGAATGTAGTAACTCATTTTTTAGTTTTTTCATTTAGTTGACAATAACACCTTGGAGACGGTGTACACTAATTGTGAGTACGTAAAATATTACAACTAACAGTCTAATACAAACTTCATAGATAGATCTATTTGTTCTAAAGAATAAACTAGGAACGATATTGGGTAAATCAATAATATTTCTATTCAGGCAGTACCATTATCAATGTCACTAATCATGGCTTGAGAATGGATCAGAAATATTAACGATAGACTCAGACTTGTAGCTAATATTGATTCAATCAGTTCCATTTTGCAGATAATCGAATATGTGGTAGAATAATAACGATTACAAAATGTTGCATTCGTAGAATTCCTTAAAAATTTTTCCAAAAAATGCATTTTTGAAGAAATATTTGGAAATAAAACTGGTACAACTTTGCCCAGCATACCTACTTCGTGATGTCTCATTCGAATCTGTTTTATCCACCGCAACTGGAAGAGTTCCATCGATTTGCTCATGACTCATGGATCCTTATCCAAAATCACACAGAAATGTAGTTCACAAAGATCCAGGTAATCCAGCTTCCGAATATGTATTCTATTGTCTATGTCTACTTTCGCGTCATCAGGCACTTGTAAAGTATGACGTTGTTAGCGTCAATAGAGGTCATCCTATTACTGCTGACTACTGTCTTTATTAATCATTGGTTTCTTTCTTGCTCTCATATCAGTTATTTTTCTATATTCTCTCTCTCTGATTCATATCAGTGGTTAATGTTTTTTTTTTCTTTCCTAATTGTTATTTTTATTGATTATCCTTCTCCTTTCTTTCTTCTTTCATCATTATAATATTTTGTTCTATTTTATTAGCAAAACCTCATCACAATACGAATATACGGTAGGCGTGCTCTTTCTTTTTCGCATGAGATTTCTCATTGCCTTGTCGGACTAGCATCTAGATTAAGTTCCCTTAATATCAAAATCGGCAATTTTCGCCGATTTGTAGAAGAAATCACGATTATGCAAATAGGACTAGAATAAAAAAATAAAAAAATATCTCTGCATCGCTACAGTCGAATTGACTGAATTTTTGGTTAGTGACAGAAGATTATTGATGGTATCATGAAAGTAATTTTATCAATTATTAAGTAAAAAAAAAAGTACATGCGTAATGTGTTTCATAACTAATTTTGTCTTGTCATTTAAGACAATGATAAAAACACATCAAAACAAACCTGATAAATAATTTTGTATTGATGCACACAAAACAAGTTTTTTACACTAATTAGTTTCAAAATCAACGATTACAAAGTTTCGAGCTTTATGGAATATTGCTTCTTTTTTGCACGAAAGTTAGTGTTTTGATGGTCAATGTGCCCTAATGGTTTATTTTACTTATGCAACATGAATTTCAGCATTTAAACTAACTAGTAGTTTTGAAAACTTGTTTTGTGTAAATCAATATAGGATTATCCATAAAGTTTGTTTTGATTTATTCTTATTATTTTCTTAGATGATAAATCAAAATTATTTATGAAAAGTTATATATATGTATTCTTTTTTTTTTACTTGATAATAGGCAAAATTGTTTTCATGATGTCAACAATAGTATTTAACAGTAGTATGTGGTTATATTAGTTTCTCGAAAAAAATATTGTAATCATAAGGCTACTGATGGGCCACCCTTGAATATTTTCGATGATCTGGTCTACTCATAGCATTTGGATCTACGACTATGATGACACTTCCATGTGTCTGCAATAAATAGTACAAAAACAAAGTTTATTTTTTGTCTTAGATTAATATTAATTAATCAGTTTGACAATCAGATGATCTCAATAGAAGAAAAAAGAAACATATGATTGAATGAATATTAACCGAAATAACTTGACTCGAATAACTTTTTCGACATGTGAACAAAAATATTTAAGTCTACTGTAAACTCTAAAGTTCCGTACAACTACTAGATCAGTTAGAAAAATGAAATTTCCTAATAGCATTTGTCATGTTAAAATCATAGGAAAGAGCATTGACTTCATAAACTTTCATCTAATTACAGGCATCTTTTTCTTGAATTCGATAAAGATCATTGATGATGTTGCTCGATACATACTCTCAAAATATTGTGTTCAGATCAGAGACTGAAACGAATAGATGAATAGTAATGTAGATTCGATTCGATTCGATTTAGATTAGATTTTAAATATGTAATTTTACATACTATAAATTTTTTCGAGATGTTTTCTTCATGGCAATGATAATTGTCTATCAAATATACTAGAATTTATATATTTGTACGTGTCAAAATATGCACGATACAAAAACCAGCATAAGTTCGAATTTTTTTTTTGCAATACACACACCGTTTGATACTTCAGGAAAGTCGAACATTTTTGCAAGAGAGAGTCGTTAACTACCTACTACCATTAGACAGTACTTGAAAACGAATATTACTATTCAATAATGAACATGCTATGATAGCTGTTAAGTGTCAAGAAGATAATGTATAGGAAGCTTTTGCGTAAAATGAAGCAGAAAAACGAAACTCCATCCAAGTTCGACATAATTATCGTGAAGAGAAAATACTACAATTGACTACTAACATAAACATACATTATAGATTACAACAATCGAGAAATGACAAAGATAATTGCTATTCCTTGTTAGCAATCGTCTTTTATATCATGCAATGGTATCATTCTATAACAAAGAAATAAGTTATTATAAACCGTATATGTTAGAAAGGATTTGATTATGGTAATGTTCAATTTCATTTAGTTTCTATCTCTGATTCAGACATTGATATCATCAGTAATAGAATTATCTTGATCATCTCAACAGCCAATCTTTTTCAGTCAGTGCATAACGAGAACTTCAAGAAAGTCAGCAAAAAAAAATCAATCAGGTGTGCCCTCTATCCATGGCTACATATACTACTAGTTGTAGAAAAGTTATCGAGATAATGAATATATCTTCGAGCCTTCAACAATGTCGATTTATCAAAAGAGACAATATTCGATAAACAAATGGATCTTTTCCTAAAAACATAAAATTATCTCGATCAACAAACTAATCACTCTAATCAAATACTTAGAGTAAGGAGATTAGTAAAATCGATTTTTTGATTAGTAGTTGAAAATTAACTTAAGATAACTCGTATTAGATAAGTATTATCGTTTAAGTTACTTTTTTTTCTTTATTGTGACAAAAAATTGACCGTAATTGATGAATTTTTTTTCGATTGACATCGAATAAGAGAAAATTTTCAATATGAAATGAGTATTTTGTAAGTTTTTTTTTACAATATTTGTCTATCAAATACAATAAAAGCAAAGAAAATTACGAATTGGATTATCGTTAATGTCTTCAATGAAAATGTTTCTAAAGAAGAATTTTATATAAAATTAGAGAAAATTTTTCTTCTCCTCACAATTATTAATGATTGAACTTTCTTCAAGATTTATACAAAGGAAAAAAACAAAACGAGATAGTCGATATGTAATGGAAGATAAGTATGAAGAGTCTAAGTCTATGGATGATGTTTCAAAATTTATGAGTTTGATTTTTTTTCTCGTCAAGATCTAGTTATTCGAGGAAAATATCGACTAGGGTGTGTGTGTTCCCTTCGTGCATGCTTATACTCACCCTCTTTACAAAACGAATTTTAAATTCGCATTCCTCGATTGCGGAAACAGCTAATCAAAATTAATAAAAAGAAAAAGAACTAATTTTTTTCGTCAATTTGATCCTCCTTGATATAAATAAAGTACACAATTTCAATATCATCCTACATCATCGAATTGTTAATCTTGCTTTAGTTTTTTTTTCAGCTAATTTGTGAGGAATTGGCTTGAAAAGTATTTTGACATTTCTCAGTATACGATGTCTAGATGTACAGTAGATGACATAAATACAGCTGAATTTTGAATGAAACAAAATCTCGGCAATGCTTCATATGAAGTGCTTTTTGATCCATGTTCGTAAAAATATCAATTTGAATTGTTCACAGTAGTGTCATCTCTCTTCGTTGATGCTGGTCACCATCACTTTATTTTTAATGTATATTTTTCCGTCAAAATTTTGACTTATTTATAGATAATAATGTCACAAGAGGCACTTGATACACCTTCAAATCACGATGATGAGAAACCAAATCATATGATCATCTGGCTCGATTCATCTATCGGTAATCCAAACGAATATCTACATTTGAAAAAGGCTTTCGCAAGTAATACTGATCCACGCCATGAAACTTGGACTATGCTTACCGACAAGGATTATGACAATTTGCTTATTGCAACAGAAGCTCAAGAGGTAAAATTCGAAGGTGTACGCTTTCTTCTGCAAGCTTTTACTGACGAAAAAGATTGTCTCAAAGCTTTTGAGAACAATCAAGACAAGCATATCTTTTTCATTACTTCTGGACTATTAGGAATGAAAATTGTACCACAAATTATGGAACACTATAGACATATTTTTACCGATCTAATCACTGATCAGCCGTACATGTCCATATATGTTTTCTGTCTCGATATGGAGGGACATGCTAACTGGGCAGTTGACTACATCGGCTATATTCAAATGTTCGACTTCGACGCAGACTTATTGGAACGTATGACACTTGATATTTCTAAATATTTCATTGAGCGTAGTAAACGACTGCGACAGGATAATGACTTGAAAGGTGCACTTCAACGTTTACATTGGGCAAAGAAACTCTGTCATCAGCATGACAAAATGGCACAAAAAATTTCTACAGATAATCCTCGACCGGTGCAAGAAAGTCAAACAATGAAGGATATTAATGCGCTAATAAACGAAATCGAACAAATATTACCTAAAGACTCTTCTCTACGAAATAGAAGCAGTAGTGATAATGATGACAATGAGGAGAACTATGTACGATCAAGTGAACCGAGTAGTTGATCTATTACTTTTCATTTATCTAATCGAAACTAATATCCTACCATAGTTGTTGCTTGTTAATAGATTTTATGTGTGTGATTCTCGAGTCTTGTAACCTCTCTATTTCGATCGAGAAAAAATAAAGAAATTTCACTCGCACAATCTCTCTCATTCTTTCATAAGTATAACTCATTTCATCGATCTCAAAGATTCAATACCGTACGTCAATGATATTGTCATCACCATGATTTTATTCCATCATTTGAATTTAGGAATGATTCATAAGTTGTATTTATGCAAACTACATTGTACTGCGAAAATGCATTCATATTTTGTATCACTAGCCGAATACTTCTTTCCTCTCTCTCTTTCTTATTGTTTTTTTTGTCCAATACAAATCGACAAATACGGTTTTACCCGTAGGCAAATACTTTAATAAAAAGACAATAATGGTTCTTTATCAATACAATGATTCATGGCTATTCATGGAACGAATTATTATTATGAGATGTTTAGACTACTGTATATATGTATATATATTTCAGCCATTTTAAAAGACAGCACTGTTAGGCTTTTCTACTGTTCCATCTGATAATTGAACAGTCGAGAAATGATATAGTTACACATGATCCTGCGTAATCATCAAAATTGATATTCCTCTTTCGGTTTGATTTTGTCACTATCCATTTTTGAAGGGTGTGGGTGTGGTTCAGGTCTCCCGTTAATTGACACCCACACCCTCATTTTGATCGATATTTAGTACATCGATAAAGCCAAGATATAAAAAGTTTTGATATAATAAAGAATTTTGTTCATTTAATAAAGCATGCCATTCATGACAAGCTAAAAAAGAAAGAAAATTTAATAGAAAATATCAGTCTTCTATTTGTTGATAATTGAAACCTCGTTTTATGAGATTATTGATAAGTAGTTTCATTTATTTATTTTTAATAAAAATCGGCAATATCAGTTTTTATTGTTAAATCAATAAATAATTGTACACGAACAGGATTTATTGATCGTAAATCAATTGAGGACATTCAATCAATTCAAAAAAAGAATTCTAAATTAAAATAAAACATTTTAAAAATAATAACACATCTTTGTTTTCTTTTTGTTACTCGATCAACATTTGAATGTTTCTATTGAAATTGTCCAATCCATATTGATTGAATAAGTTTATCCTATTTTTCACTTGCATTTATTAATAAATACAAATACACATTATTTATCTTCAACAGTATCAACAGCAAAACATAGATCAAAATTATTAAGTGAACTTAACTAATATCTACGAATCATTCTATCAATATAATAATATATTTTGTTTTTGAAAAATTAATGCCAACAAGAACTTTAATTAAAACTAATTCAATGTAAAGAAAAATTATTTTATTGACTCAACTGACTCTGAATGGATCTTTATTATCTAAAATGTTGTAAAATAATTTTTTTTCTCCTGAATCGACATTGTATGAAAAATAGGCTAAAACAATGATATACATCTTTGAGTAAAAGTCTTTCCCCTCCGGATCTCAGTCATTATAAAAATTAGTGGTTTGAAAATTCGTGTGCACATACTTCACTTGGAGGGTGTGGGCGTAGGTGTAGCTATATATCTTTCCTTTACTCACATCCACATCCACACCCATTTTCTTGAAAGAAATATTTCAATCTTGTCAATGGAATTTCATCGGAAAGCAGTTCGTAGAGTAGCTCGATCGAGTCCATTCAGCTGATCACATTCCGCGCATATCTCAATCGAAAGTATGTCCGATGTACACAAACCAGGTACATTATGCAAATAGCCTTTCAATTCTCGCCCATCAGGATAGATCAGAAAATTTTCGTCATATGCTCCACTCGTGATTCCCGCAAAACTATTCTGAGAATTGCAGTTTGGACATGTTATTTCTACTTAATTCTTCTATAACTAAGATTATGAATTTCGTAAACTTTAAGGTGAACAGTTGAAATGTAGAGGCAGCTTCGAATCAAAAGACAACAACCGTATGAGTTTGTTGGAACATTACGTTTTCTCGTGTCTTCACATTTTCTATTTCAAAATTTTTCCACCCAAATATTTATTATGAAACTTCGCAAAGGGAATCAAAAGATGCAGAATTTCATATGGAATATTGTAGTATCTTTGGAATTATAGGAGAATGATCATTGAAAAACTTTTATCATATTTTTTCGTGTCCATGCTCACGCGGGTGGTCCGTTGAATAAGTGTCCAACTTTCAAATACTACGTTTACAAGAAACGTTCTCGGAAAAACGAAGTCGATAGTGTTGTAGAAAAAAAAATTTCATTAAATGTGAACAGAATTCAATTTCCAAACGACTTCTTAGTGC